GACTCGCTCAAGACCACCGCCCTCTTTGCCCGCCAGGAGGAGATTGACGTCGTCGTCTTTGTCGTCTCGGCGGAGAATCACTTTACCCTGTCGGCGAAAGAGTTCCTGTGGACCGCCAGCAACGAGAAGGCGTACCTCTTCATCGTCGTCAACAAGTACGACATGATCCGTAACAAGGACAAGTGCCGCCGCGTCGTCCTCGAGCAGATCAAGGGCCTGAGTCCCCGCACCTACGAGGACGCCGAAGACCTCGTCCACTTTGTCGACTCGGCGGCTGCCGAGAAGAACGACGGGTTCGAGGAGATGGAGGCCGCCCTCCGCTCCTTCGTTCTCACCAAGCGCTCAAAGTCCAAGCTGCAGCCCGTCGAGACCTTCCTGCTCAACCTCCTCAGTGACATCGAGCTCCTCGCTTCCGCCAACAAGCTCGTCGCCGAGGCGGAGCTCGCGCAGGCCCGTGCCGAGCTCGCCGAGGCCAAGCCCGTCCTCGAGAAGATGCGCTCCGGGCGGGACAAGCTCGAGGAAGGCCTCGAGTCCGTCGAGGAGGACGGCGTCGGCCAGGCCAGCGCCAAGACCAAGAAGGTGCTAGCTGACGCCCTCGAGCAGGTCGGCAGCGGCAAGCCCGTCGGCGGGCTGCGGCTGCCGTCGTATCCTGGGCTCTTTGCCGTCTGGGATTACGCCCGCGACGTCCGCCGGACGCTGCTCGAGTCCCTCGATCTGTCCGTCAAGATGGCGGAGGACGAGGCGCGCAAGGTCACCTCTGCCGGCGTCGCGCAGATCAAGGACCTCGGCGAGGAGCACCTCCCCGCCGGTGTCGAGCGCAGCCGCCGCATCTTCATGCCCGAGGCCATGTTCTCCGCCGTCCGCCGCAAGAGCGCCGGCGGCAACAAGGGCACGCTCAAGACGCGCGGCGGCAACGCCGTCATCGTCGCCGGCGGCGCACACGGGCTCGGCATCGGTCTTGCGTCACGCCCCGACATGCAGGAGACGACCTTCCTCGACCTCTTTGACGTCAACCACCAGTTCTGGGTGCACTTTGGCGACGCAAACACGTCCAAGTCGTCATCGTCGTCGTCCGAGACTGACTCGAACCCCGGCGCGCTCAGCGTCGTTGGTGTCGGCGTCGGCGCGCTCACCATGGTCGGCGGACAGGCGATTGGCGTCCGCGGCGTCATCGAGGGCATCGTCCGCCTGAGCGACTTTTTCGGGAACGAGACGGCGCGCAAGTGGGCGCTCCCGGTTGTGGGCGCGGTCACTGTCGGCGCGGTCGTGTACGTCGTGCTCGAGCTGCCGAGCTCGATCCCGCGCACGGTCGGTCGCCGCATCAAGGCGGCGGTCGAGGCCGCGGAGGACGACGAGAAGCAGTGGGAGGCAGAACACACCGTGCGCATCGGGCGGGAGACGCGCAAGGTGCTGCGGCTCGCGTCGTGGGACCTGCGGGAGCGCTTCCGGGGTGCGATGGAGGAGCGGGGCAAGGAAGTCAAGAATGCGGAGGAGGGTGAGAAGCGTGCGCTCAAGGCGCAAGAGTGGTTCGGCAGCGTTGGGACCCGCGTCGGCGAGGTCCGAGGCAAGGCGCGGTTGGGCGAAGAGTCGGCAATTTGAGGCGAGGCATCCATCCATATAGAGGACCCTCGCCGTATATGTTTTCTCTTTTTTCTTCCCTCATACATATTAATGACCCTCATCTGATTTTGAATCGCTCGACGGAGTGTCCTTCAATACCAGCCTCACGTTTTCACGTTCCTTTTAATTTTCTCTACCCCATGCCCTAACTACCCATAGTTTTTTACGATCTATTTGACACGACGTATACTTACAATGTATGTACGAGCTACAAAGATGAATTGCCGTCTACATTGGCTTTCTTTGTGTGAACTCGAGCATGCCGCGTCAACTGGTCCGCCCTTGCGAAGGACTTGCTGCATGTTTCGCAAGAGTACGGCTTTGCGCCGGTATGTGTGCGGAGCTACATGGGTGATTAAAGACGGCGAGAAGAGAAATACCAGCTAGGACATACATGTTTCGAAAGGTTCGACGATTCCGAGAATGCTCTGAGTCAGACGTCAATTCATCGTGCAGAAGAGGACGATCGAGAACTTGCTTATCGCAACGAGGACACTTGAACGGCTTCTCGCCATTGTGGGTCCGTTTGTGAATCGTGAGCGCGCCTGTGATTGCGAACGATTTTCCACAGCCAGGATAATCGCACAGATAGGGTTCTGCACGGATTTAGCGATGATCTAAAAGTATCTAAGCTTCTACTGACTTTCTTGTGTATGCCGACGCATATGCTGCTGCAAAGTGGCAGCCTCTGAAAAGTTTTGCTGACAGATTTTGCATTGGAATGGGCGGTGACCGGTATGCGACTGGACGAACCAGAGGTAAGCAGTAGATAAAACCGTACAAGCAAATACGAACCTGGAGATGCCGGCATAACTTCTGTTTACTTGTGAATCCGTTCTCACCGTGCCTGGAACAGTCCTGCCAATGACAATCGTAGGATGTCTTCCCAGATCCGACGTGAGCTTCGGTTAGATGCTGGGTGAGATCATCTAAAGAGGGGAAGCTCTGCCCGCATGCCGACCACTGACAAATGTGCCCAACGGAGCTCGCATCTTCTGAAGGTGGGGGGGATGAAACGACGGGCTCTGGGGGAGGACTGGCATGCGGCTCGAGATGAGGCAATGCGGAGGAATGGGTATTTAGAAGGCACCACGAAGGCAGGCCGTTCATACCAAGGTGGTCGTGCAAGAGGTGGGAAGCCAGAACAGAAAGCGTCGAGTCGACATCACCCGACGAGGGCCCCGGAACTGAATCGGGAGTGGGATATATGGTGCAGTCTTTCCACTGACACGAGAGTTCCCGCGGATTGGATGTCGTCGGGGGCGAGGGCGCGGGGGGATGACACAAATGAACCAGATTGACATGTTCAGCAAGGGCAGACAGACTTGAGAACGAAGCGCCGCAATTGCCCCACATGCATGCTAGAGATTCGATTGCCACAGGAGTAGCGCGAGGGGATGTGCTAGGCGTGGAGTCGGCGACAAGTGGAGAATTACTGTCGGCTTCGGACGGGAAGCAGTCCGACGCCCTTCCCCCACAAGAACACACAAACGTTTTGAGGGAAGGATCCCATGCCCAAGTTGTCTCTGTATTGTTTCTGGGCTCCTCATAATACGAATGAAAATCTGTACAGCATTGCAGCTGCAAGGCATGATGAGACGCGCACATCTAGTCAGGTTTCGACGGACAAACTCATCAAAGTCACTACAACCTCCGCAGTTGGATGGATCTTCACAAACGAGATCACAGTGACCACCGGGGCAGTCCATATCGCAAACGGGAGCGTCTTCGCTGCACGGCACAACGACGCACTGGTCTGTGCATTGCGAAGTCAGGGACTCGGGTATGGCGTGGCAATCGGCGCAGATGGGAGCCGCCAGTTTCTCGCAGTTCATGAGCGACATTGCGAGGACGAAAATGGGGGACAGAGGAGACGTGAGCTTAGAGCCGCTGGTGGTGATAATTTAAGTAAGTGAGATGCCGGATCACTCCGGTCTGCGAGGGTTCTCTTTCTCGATCACGTTGACCAGCGCTTGTTCGCGACTCTACTCTCGCTTGTTTGCGACTCTACTCTCTCGTTCTTGAAGTCTTCCTGCCATCTCAAGTGCATTCATAGAGTGCCCAGGTCCGCTTTCAAGCAGGTGCATCAGGATACGTTCAACTTTGGCCTGTTTTTTCAAGACACAGTCAACTACAGATTACGAAACTCGGCGTGCTTCACGACACGGGGCAAGTACTGGTAGGAGAGCAAGAAAATGCAACAATTGGGTTCCCCGATTCAATGGCCTGCCCAGGAGCCACTCGTTAGTTAACTGATAGCACTCCATCACAGCGCATCGTACCTCGCAAATTCCATTCGGGTTTGGGTTTGGGAAGGCAAGGTCGCTGCTCTCGCAGGTCGAGCCAGTGAACATGGAAACACACGTGCCGGCGGCACTCTGCGTCCCAGGTCAGACATGGGCGCAACAACAAGGCGGACGTACTTTAAATGCGTTTTTGCCGACAAATGTGTGGCATGAGCCATCGCAGGGAAACACTGCACTCGCACCAGAGCAGCCAATGACCGCGAAAGTAGTGATGTTCGAGGCCTGGGTCATGGCGATGGCAGCAGCGAGGACTAGGGCGAAGAACTGCATTGCTGTTCGGCGATGAAAAGTCTGGATTATCCTACACATGGCTGCATCTTTATAGGGACTGTGCGGCTTGGCCCGCCTCCACCGCCATGCTAGGTCACCTGGAGGTCACCTGGGAGACCATGATCATCATACTGTATGGATCCCAGGTTCGGCGCAAAGCCTGCGCACTTCCGGTTCGGCAAGCGGGACTCCACAAACTGATGAATCTCAACTCAATATCCATTCGAGGATCCTGTACCGCTTTCCTGCGACCGCTCCGCGGATATGCCGCTACTCCGACGCCGTGCGACTGCTTTCGCCCAACCACTACGCCGCTACCACTTACCATGTCTTTCCTGCGATTCTTACAGATTCCTCGCGAATGCACCACCATTGGTGCAGTTCATATACCCTACTGCTTTTTTGCTCTTCCGCGCGTTGTTGTCATCACACCCTCACTTGCTACCGTGTTCCCTCCCCGACCTATCGTTACTTGGCACTGGAATAACCTCACGCGCCAGCTTGGACTTCAATCTCCTTGTAAAATTAAAATTGAAACTTGCAGCTCACCGTGGCTTTTGGTCGAAGTCGAGAAGTAAGTAGATGCTTCTATTATGCAAATGGTCCGGCGACATGGAGAGCTGCTGTCCTCTTCCCGCAACCTTTTTTCAAGATGCAGCTTGGTTTCCGACGGTGAAGGAAAAGATTGCAGAGAAGACTCTCCGCTCCCAGCAACTACCCACAAGTGACATCGAAACGCCAAAAGTGTGGTCCAACATGGGCAAAATCATTGAATTTAGACGGTAAACTCGTCCAAAAAGCGGAAACCGCTGATGGGGCTCGAACCCACAGCCTTTGCCTCAGGCCTTACGTGATCCCACGCGCAAGGTAGGAAGGCAATGCACTACCTTTGTGCTACAGCGGCATGATCGAACTGCAGAGGAATATAATCTCAAGGTTGATCAGCAGCAGACACAGTATCATAGAACTCACGGTAGCTGAATAGCCGACAGGAAATTAAGCAGTGAATCGGTAGAAATCCACGAGATGTAAAACGCGTTTCACCCCGACGACATTTGCTGATGCACAAACCTGTTCTTGACTTATCGACTTCTCAGCTCAAGAGAGCAAGGTAACACTGTGACAAGATGTCACAGCCAATCAACACAACAGGCGCAAACCGGAACAGGTCGGTACTCGGCCAGCAAAGCGAGAATCGAGAAATCCATCTTCCTTCCTAGACACATCTAGACGACCGCCATGTCCGCTCCCCCTCTCGGAAAATGGGACGCCAGGTCTGTATTGTCCTTTCCTTACTTACCGATGGTCTCATTCATCTTTTTCCAGATTGCTCGGGCCTGTTCCTCATGACATGAGCTACTACTCAAAGTGCATGCTCGGCGGTGTCCTTGCCTGCGGTGTCACCCACGCCGGTATCACCCCCCTCGATGTCGCGAAATGTAACATGCAGGTGAGCGATATTGGCTTTACCCGGTACAAATCAGCGTTGGCTCAATTTTTTCAATTTTTTTTTTCAAGGTCAACCCCCTCAAATACAAGGGCCTCTTCCCTTCCCTGAGCCTTCTCGTCAAAGAGGAGGGTCAGACCGGTATCTGGAAAGGCTTCGGGCCCACCTTCGTCGGCTATTCCCTCCAGGGAATGTTCAAATACGGTCTCTATGAAGTGTTCAAAGACACCTACATGAACCTCGCTGGCGAGGAGTTGTCGAACAAGTACAAGCCCGCCATCTGGCTCGCCGGTTCCGCATCCGCTGAAGTCTTTGCCGACATCGCCCTATGCCCGCTCGAGATGACGAAAGTCAAGATCCAGACCAGCGCGACCGGAACCTTCCCCACCGGCTTTGGAGCTGCTCTCGCACAGATGCGCGCCACAAAAGCAGAGACCCGTTTCCCCTTCGGCTCCCTCGGTCCTCTATGGTCGCGTCAGGTTCGTGGCTGAACTTTTATTTTATTTTTTCAAAAAAAAAAATCCTGCCCGTTATCTAACTACCGCACTCAGATCCCGTACACCATGGCCAAGTTCTTCTTCTTCGAGAAGATCGTCCAACTGTTCTACACCCACGTTTTCACCGAGCCCAAGGACACGTACAGCAAGCCCACCCAGCTCGGCGTCACATTCGCATCCGGTTACCTCGCTGGTGTTGTCTGCGCCATCGTCTCCCACCCCGCCGACTCGCTGGTTTCTCTCCTCGGCAAAGCAGAGAACAAGGGCAAATCCGTTGGACAGATCACCTCCGAGGTTGGATTCGGCACCCTCGCTACGAAAGGACTGGGTACTCGGGTTGTCATGATTGGTACGTCCAATTCTCGGACTTTCCAAATTTATCTCATATTTATATTCCACTTTAGGTACCCTCACTGGATTCCAGTGGTGGATCTACGATTCGTTCAAGGCCGCCATGGGTATGGGAACGACCGGTGGCAAGTAGCCGCGCGTCTTTTAAACTTCAAAAACGTTTGTTCATTTATTTATTTCTCCGTCACGAACGTGTGATTGATTGATCTTGCCACAGGATAGAGGCATTTATGCATCCTATTTTACTTATTCGACCTTGTCCCTCTTTTTGCGAGTTTATTACATAGAATGGAACTTAATGCCTTCCGACCATGAATAACGAACCCCGATGACCCCCCCGCTTAAATGTGTCCATCTCGATGTGAGATCGGTAAAGCGTGCAAGGTTGAGAGCAATGTTACAAATCGACGTCTAAATTATCCCTCCTACTGGGCTTTTTTCCCCTTCTTCTCGCGCGACTCGCCCGCCAACCATGCGGCCGAGAACACGAAGAATCCAACGCTGGTGCTGATAGCACCTGCATAATATGGCCATGCAGCACTGAGGAACCGCGGGTAACCATCGTGCCGGGGAGGGACAACAGCTACGGTGGTCGAGCTGTGGAGGTGCGTCCATCTATGATAAGGTTAGAACAGCGTCTTGCAGATAAAGCGAGGTTTCGTACCCTTTTCGTTTATAGTCGATAACGAATTTAAATACGCCGTGGCGATCTGGGGCGCGGAATGTAACAGAGTACTTGCCGGGCGACCCAGGTACCGCTGGAAAAGCGGTACGAATGTGGGGATCCAACATGGTAAATTCGAGTTGCATGTCCTTGATGCCGGAATACGGCTCCCAAGCCGACTTTTTGGAGTTGAAACGCGATATTTCAGCGGTGAAAACCTGCTAAATGTTTATAACTCATCAAGAAACAATATCGACGACACGCACGATGTTGTCATTGGTTGTATACTGCTCTAAAGGCGTCGTAGAGTTGACCAGGTGGTGCGTTGTGCTGTCGATGCGCAACACGAGCGACTCTTGGAACGTCCACGCCGTGACGTCGCGCGCGAATTGGACGTTGCCGGATTTTACTCCTCTGGGAAAATTGAGGACTTTTACAGTACATGAAACAGAGAAACGCACTTGGACACCTCCTTCTTGGCGAACTTGTCGCTGAACACATCCACTCCTCCGACCCAAGTCACACGAGCACCGCCCAGAGCCTGGAAGCCAGCCACGACGCCGAGTTGACTGCCGGCCCAAAGTCCTTCGCCGCCTTTCTCGCTCGCATCGACAAGGACATCGGCACCACCCTCCGAATCCGCGGCGAAGCTCTCAGCCGGCGCGTTCAGGATCGGTACGAGTAGCGGGTTGTTTCCGAGCGCGAAAGGAACACCAGAGAACCATACGGGCGACATCCTGGGAGACAAGATGAGAGAAGACGCAGGCGCGTCGATTGGGATGACCGAAGGAGGGTCCTTGCGCTCGGGGAAAAACGAGATCAAGGGCGTGCCGGGCGGCGGGAGAATGAGAGAGAACTCGGATGCCAGGGAGGAGAGTGCTGTTTGCTTTTGAGAAAGCGCGATCAGGAGGTTGGTGCCGCCAGACAGAAGCTCGACGAGAGACTGCGGTGTGATATCTTTGGCGAAGTCTGCAACTAGAATTAGTTCGTGCCCTGTCGCGTCAACGAGGGACTTACTTTTGGATTCAGATGCGAGGATAATAATGTGAGAGAATGTTGGAACATCATACTCGACTACCGACGGTTTCTCGTCCTTGGGTGCGCGGAATGTAAGGCTATATCCCTGCTCTAACCAGGCGTCAAGTAAATTCAGGGAGGTACGCGACCAGCACACCTTTCAGGTTGTCGAAGAAGATACTAAAGTCCTTCTTCTGGGCTTCCTCAACTACAACGAGCACAGAGTCCCCATCGCTGGATTTGGCGTGCAGAAGGCCTGACAGACTCAGGAAAAATAAGACGAGTGTACAGAACGAAAGCATGGGTCGAGGTATGCAGCCAGCACGACAGACCGGGAATCGGAGGCCAATAAATGAAGGTTTCGGAAACTAGGTTCCACGTCGGCGGCAGGTTTATTTTTGGCACGTCGTTGTTGCGTGTTTGCCATTGGCTTCCGAAACTTCGAGTGGTGTGCGGTACGAAAGCAAGAAGAAAAATATACACCGACTTCATTGGATGAGACGTACTACGACAACTTATATCGAAAATCTCAAATCTACATTATATCCGCGTTCACCCCGCGCTCAGAACAATCTGCGAAGAATCCAACCCGAGGGCATGCAAGAAGAGGTTGACGTTCGCCAGCTTGGTCCGCCTCTCGTCCTCGTCCGCCACCCAGCCCTTGTTCGCACTCAGCACATTCTCAAGCACCTTTTCGCGCAGCGAGGTCACCAGCACCTGGTGCTGCTCCGGGACCGCCTGCAGTGCCAGTGCCGCCAGGAACTGCCACACCGGCTGGTCTATGATGTCGATAGCCAAGGCAGCACTGGTGGGATGGTGTGCTTGGAGCGTGATGCGACTCGAAGGGAATAGAGCGAGAAGGTGGGGTGTGAGGAGGACGAAGAATTGGTCGAATACAGCTTGCCTACAGCGGAATTAGCTCGAGGTCTCTCTCGGACGCATCGAGAATCTCACCATTGCTCGAGAGATGCTCCTGCGGTCATAGGATCGACAGGTTCCGCACCTGTCCCCCAGGCCTGTTTAATAACCTCTACCCGGCTGAGGAACAGTGTAAGAAGGGCCAACCCGGGCTATAGCTGCATTCAGTTGCACCCTAAAAACAACGGCACCTGGATGTACCTTGGTCTTCGCGACGGCGGCAATGTCGTGGCTGCGCTCAATCAATAACCCTAAGAGTGCAGTCACGACGTGCAGCTCCAGGTTCGCAACAATTGGCAGGATGCTCTGCAAGACGCTGCCGAGGAATGCTTGAGTCTGACGTTCCACTTCAGCGCGCTCTGGGGACTCCTCAAGAGAATCCAGCAGCGGCGCCTGCTTCACCACGTCCAATTGGGTGAAGCATGCGACGAGAAGAGTCATGAGGGTGAGCATGCGCGAGGAACCGATGTGTCTGGTAAGACGCGGAAGCAGCTTTTTGCCCTTGCTCGGGGACAATAACGAGACGAAGGGATGGGGATTGCTGGTCTCCAAAGGTACCATGACTTTTAGGCCTTCCCAGAGCAACTCGACAAGGTCGTCGTACTCCTTCTGCCTGTCGATGTGTGAATATAGAAAGGTAGATGAAGCCAAGTCATATATACCACTGCCGGGCGGCGTCCTCCTCTTCCGGTGGAGGCTGCTCACGTCTCAGATGCTCGACCTTGAGAACGAGGTCGTACATAGCTTCGAGAGCCGTCAACACCTGTCGACGAGTGAGAGGATCTTTTCTGACGACATTTCCTGTCTGGTAAAAATTAATGAGCGTGGGGATGTTATAAATAGGCGGAAAACAACGTACATTGCCCAAGGTCTCGCGACTAAGTTTGGCCGCCTCCTTGGCCGCACCCTCGTTGGACTTACTCTTCGCATCCTCCTTGGAGATGTGAGCATTGGCGTGGGCAAGTGTAGGCGAAGTCGAAGGGTTGTCGTCAACTTGCAAAAGTTGTCGA